TGAATTGAAGTGAAAGAAGGGATAAAAAATGTTTTTCATATACATAAACGGTTACAGAACTTGCAATAAATGTACATTTTATTTCTTACTTTATTTTACACTATAGACAGTTTTCATTCATTACATGTCTAACCTCTGGAAAAATGGCAGTAGTGCTCAAACGTATGTAGACCCAAAAAAGGTGGCAGTAAATTCAGCTAATATCCGATTTACAATTAACCACTTAACATCTAGTGTTCCTAGCGTGTACAAGTGTAATTTGTGTACTCGTGTGTTTGCGCGAGGCATGTCAAAAAGAAGAACCAGATCCGACAACGTGATCCAAATTCAAAAACCATCATGCGAATTGCAAAGAGAGAAAGATATAAAAACAAATTAAAGCACGGTCTTTCTAAATTTCCTTGATCACCACTAACTAGAAACCCGAAAACCGTGACGTGGTCGATATAAACAAAAAAAATGCCGATGCGGTGAACCTTGTTCCATGTACATACGTATCCTGATCAAGCGACGTAGACGGCGTTTACTATCTTTTTTTTTTCCTACAAAGACCGATCACACGCAACAATAAAGTCGTTGTTTTATTGAAATTCAGAATTTTTTCTACGAAGTAGAATCTACCGCCCCTCTTTTAAAAATCACGAAATTTTGTAATTTTGTCCAATGCCCTCCATTCCCACTTCCACCCCTTCATATACGAAGATTCATCGTATTAATTCTTATCTTTTTTTTTTGTCCGCGCGATCTTCTACTTTTTTGCGTATTAATAATTTCTACAGTTAATCATTACCAAAGCGTCATGTACGAAGCTCCTGGTTTTTTGTTCTTGCGACAATTACGTTATTCGTCTAATTAATTAAATGACGCACTCATGCAACGCGATTATAATTAATTGTCTCCGTCGGTATCGTCATTTTCTCGTGAGAATTTTTGAGTACGATTTACTGAATTTTTGGGTCTTATCAGCTGTAGCACTAGCACGACAAAGCACACTGAGACACTTGGTCAATTTGAGAGAAAAAGTAACATTTTCTTTGTTTACCAATTATTTAACAGAAATAAAAATATACAGTGTGACTCAATTGATTTTTGACAATCGTTCGTCTTCCTGCCTCTTTAATAATCTTCTATGTATCATTCGTTCATTAATTTTGCTCTAAATTTATATATTATATGTATATCACTTCTACTCGATTTAAACGATCTTATCATGTTACGAGTTTTATTTGTAATTTATTATATTTCTCTTTATTAAGCGTAATATTTCGATTCTTCTATGTGCTACGTTATTATTATTAACTTATGCTACGATGAAGTAATCGTGAAAAAAAAGAAAATGAAAACTTAAAAGGGAATCCAATGAGTGTATTATTTATATAATTATATAAATATCAATACGATTCTCGACACACTCGAAATTCAAAAATTCAAGTATATAAAAAAGCTATCTTCGATCGGCTACCCGAATAATAAATTTTTTAATTATTCAATCGCGATGCGTGATGCCTTTTTCATTAATAAAATGGTCCCTGTGGGATTATTTGTGAGTGCTCGAAAACAAGTCGATTAAACAAAAATATTACAACTTGACCAAATTCATTAAAATATGACATAAAAAAAAAAAGAAAATAATTGTACAGCAAATTATCAGCGACGCGTCAATTCCTCATCATCTTATGATTTCTCTTATTTTCTTTGGCTCGTCGAAAATCAAATATATCCATAATACGAATATCGCTAATACTTTTCATTGATCCTTAATTCTCTTTCGTTCGGACGGACAATTTTACAAATCGCCTTAACGACAGGTCATTTTGAATTTTCATTGCAAAGAAAAAGAAAAATGTTTTACATCAAATGACGCTCTCCTGAGTGTACAGCGTGTGATAAAAATTTCTTTAATTTCGGGAAAACGAAAATGAAAAGAAAGATAATGAAAAATAATGAATGAAACAAAAATGAATTGTTTCGGAGCACCCGTTAAATGGAGGATATTTCAAGTTTAGCCATTAAGTAATAGAGAGCGAAAATTGAGCTTTAGAATTAGACAAACAGGGCAAAACAATTGGGGACAAACGAATAAGTAGATAATTATACTTAAGGTATATGTCCACTTTATAATTTACGAAAAACTGATTTTTTTTAAATTCGAAGTCAATATATATATATAACTTTTCTATCGCAAACGTTTTCAAAGACAACAAAAACTGTACTGAGGACGTACATGCGGTCCGGAATTATTATTAATATAGAAAAAAGCCCGTATTTTAAAAGAAGGGGATGTATAATATAACCGTTATATATACATATATATATATATATATATATATATATATATATATATATATATATATATTTTTGTTGTCTTTGAAAACGTTTGCGATAGATTTCATTAAAATGGGTTATAATAAAGGTTCTAAAACAACTTCGCATGAATTCCGTGGTAATCAGTAAACGTGTTTTTTTCGAAATGCCATTTTTTGAAATGACCGTCAGATTATCTCCGGTTCTACTCATCCGATTTTTATAGTTTGTTGAGTTTTGTTCGTTGTCACGTTGGCTACCGGAATGTACCATTTTCTTTTAAAAAAATTGTTTACAAAAATTTGACGATAAACATTAGCCAAAAAGAGCCTTTTTCCAACCATTTTTTTTTCAAACGCTCATAAAACTTTTTCTCTCAGTTTTGAAATAATTGCGGTACATTCCGGTGGGAGAAGACTTAATCTTTGAGATGCCGTTTATATTTTTCATTTTTGACTTGCCAGTTCGGAGATAAACTGTTAGCCATACAACTCTCACGTTTTCAGGACTCAACTTCAAAAAGTGAAAATTGAAAAAAAAATTTCTCTATTTTTGAAGGATTAAATAATATTTAACAAAACTTTTTTATCATTATCTAATATAGATGTTCAGAAGAAAAAAAATGTTGAAAATTGGAGTTTTTTCCCGCTTCTAAAGTGGACATTATACCTTAAATAAAACAACCGGATTTCTACAGGTTGTCATCCTTATAAAAAAAAAATGCTGCTTAGCATACAGCAGCAATGAAAGAAATTTGAAATTTCGACAAGCGAACGCCCGAGAAATAAAAAATACTTTCATTTATTTTGTCCCCAAATTTGGTGAAAATATAAGATAAAATGGAAGTGACCATATAGGTGTATCGGCAATTATAATAAAACCTCATGCGACCACTTCGTTAGCTGATATGCTTGCTATTATATTGCTCTGATCATTAAATAAATAAATATCTAATAAATATAAATAAATAAATAAATAACTAAAGAGCACACGCTTTAAGTACTATGTATCTAGACTAATAATACCTGTACAAAAAGTATCTAACGTTAAACAAGATAAAATAATTAATTAACAATTGTGCATCGGGCAAATCACACGGCTTCACGCTCGGTGTTCGAGAATTATTAAGAACTTCTTTAGGTGCTTCTTTTTTTATCTCCCCAAATCTATCATAAACGCCTGAAATTCTTCGATGATTGTACCCACGATTGTTCAATCACAACCGTGAGTAAACACCGAGTCGCTAATGGTGGACGGAGTCGAGCAGAAAGGTGCGTACCAACACGTTCAACTATACTACATACAATAGTGATGATTTAGTTAATATTATATATTAGGAAAAAAAAAAGAATTAATGAAGAAAATACCAAAAGAAAAATTTATGGAAATATTTACTTATATAAAAAGCATCGTGACACTACGTTGACTACGAGCTCCTTTCTCGCACAACGAGGCCTAATACTAGGTTAGAATTTATTCCTACATCTTTCAAATACCTATGGCGAGTCGACTGTAGTATTAAAGAATATAAACGAAGAGGTTCGCTGGGAACTTTTGCAGTACTTACTACAATATCCTTGATCTAAGAGATTTCGATATTTTTCAAAGGAATAAGTAAAACTTCAAATTGGATGCGCCAGTCGAAAAATGATTAATATAAGAGGTATTCTTTTACAAATCGAACACTTTTTTCGAATGTAGAATTTAGATTCTCATGAAAATTTTTTTACAGCTTCTATTCAAGAAATAATGTGACTCCTGTATCACGATTTTTGAGAGAACATTTTTTTTTGATAGGTATATTTATTTTTAATTTCAATGATAATCGAAGAAATGATAATTACTCATGTATATAAAATTCATTATTTCTGGTTTTACTCATTCAATCGATTTCGTTTTTTTTTTAATTCCTTACCGTGTTATGTTAGCTCTTTAATGAATATGTAAATGATCTTCATTCTGTTATTTAAAAAAGTTATTAACAATTTTATTGTTTAAACAATTATTTTACATTTGCCCCCTCAATGAATAACATTTAAAAAAATACTATCGTGTGCAGTATGTTTTAATCTAAAAAACCCACACTTAAGAAATGTGGAGACTTTATTAGATCCGAAAATATTAAATATTTTCTAGTGCGCGGCGTGCGCGTCGCGCGTGGATCATAGCTTGACGTGCTAAAACGTCTCTGAGTAAAGAAAGAAACGAAATAATATTTAATATTTTCCAATCTACTAAAGTCTCCATTGTTTTTAAATGTGCGTTTATTAGATTGAGATATAGCACACACAACAGTATTTTTTGAAATATTATTCATTGAGGGGGCAAAGGTGAAAAAATTGTTTAAACAATGTAAGTGCTAATAAATATTTTAATTAAAAAAATAAAGGTCATGTAAATATTCAATAAAAATCTACCATAACAATGTGAACAATGAAAAAAAAGACGGAATCGATTGAGTAGGTTAAACCAGAGATATTGAATTTTGTATTTAGGAAAGTGTAGCATTTTCTCGAATTTTATTGAAATTTCTGTTTAATATAGTTAATTGAAAAAAATTTTTTCACCAAAATCCCGATATAGGTGTCGGCTAATTTGATGAGGAGATGTTATAAAAAAAAATTCAGAGCATTTAAAAATTCGAAAACTTTTTTTTTTACAAATCCGTACGATTTATAAAAGAATGCCTCATAAGGAGTCTGTTTTCTGCTAATGTTATGCCAAGATGTAAATCGTTGGCCTTCAACTTTGAAAATACTGTACATGAACAGATATATCCATGCGACGTAAGCGCTTGCTTGTACACATGACGAGAGCTCTATAGAGAATGCATGCGAGTAACAACAAAGTAATAGATATTCATAGAGTTACTTTAGAGGGTCTTTCAAAGACTCGTAACACGAGTCGAAATGAAAGTACGAGACACTAACAGAGCAACAGCTAAACTAGTTTAAAGATGTCTAAAAGGGAGAGTTTGGTTAGTTGATTCTAGTCAAAATCGAGGAGCTTTTCTTTTTTTTCAGTCCGGAAAGTGGACGTTCACCTTTTCAAAAAACGGAAGAAGCCCCTGTTCTTGTCGGGAGGCGGAGCCATCAGCATTGGGACTTGGTTCTTGTGCGTTATATGAATCTGTAATAAAAACAGGATAAGCACAAGCAAAACTAATTAAATAAGTAAAGGAATAACACTCTTTATTTTTTTACTTTTTTAACTCACCGTACACGGGCCCTGCATCCATGGCTCCCCATCAATCTGCATGGGAAATCTTTTGCTTGTGGTTATGGTCACGCTGCTACATTGGGCCAGCCTTCTGCCCGATGCTCTAAGACCCGTTTTCACCTGGCCCATATGCAGACAGTTCTCTAGGCCTATTACCTCTATCAGATTATCACCAATATCTACAAATTATACCAGATTCTAGAGACTTGTCATTTATTAAGAATTTTGTGATTTTTTTTTTTATTATTGGCACCTTGAATAGCTGCTGTGAGATCGACGGAATTGAAGCTACTCGTACTTAGTTCCTTGTCTGGCCTTTTCTTTCTCTTTCCAAGACGATGTCTCGTGTGATGTTCTCCCCAGAGATTCGAACCTCCGTGAGTGAACGGAATGTTCAGCAGAGCGACACCCTGAAGGGACGGACCATGCGCGAGATCGAGTGGAACACCATCACACTGGATGAAAGTCAAGATAAAGAATGAATTAAATATTAATGCTTTCAACTGCAGATAATATTATTTAATTTCAGACTTATTCTCATTTCTTTCAAACTTACTATTATTTCAAGATCTTCGTGCAGATTTTTGCAGCTGGCAGCAAACTGTTCGGTAGTCGCATACTCGAAGTACCATAATTTATTTTTCATTCGGCTATTAAACTTCTCGGGATTTTTTTCCCGTTCTAAATGAAACTTCACGCAAATGGCAGCATCCACACCGACGGAGAAATAATTATTTATAATATTATATGGGATGCAGTCTTGGTTCGGTTTTCTTTCCTCCTTTTGATCCAAAACGTCGATTTGCCATCGATCCATCATGACTGGTGTTGCTTTCTCAATTTTCTGTTGAAGCAGATATACTCTAGTAAACGACACACGCCTATCGTGGCATACATGAACAAAAAACATAGGACACTTGATTCCTATTTACCTTGAGGACTTTGTGAATAGCCTCGCCCTCGTAACCGCCACCCCATCGCAAACACCGGGCCAAGTCGTTACCCGTACCCAGAGGAATCACACCCACCGCTGGTTGATGTTCGAACTGAACACGATCTATTAAAAGTTGATAAATTGCAATAATCAATCGATTGCACCAGAGCTTAAAAATATGTAGTAACAATTTAGAAAAACATTGATATATACAATTAACAAAAAAGTAACAGCGTACCCATAGTCTCTAAAATCCACCCCACAGTCCCATCGCCGCCGCAACAAATAACTTTAAAATTCTCCACGTCCTTGAACATCTGGAGTCCCTGCATGGGTCCACCGATAGCAAGATTGTGAACCTGCCGCGGGTTCAATATGTATTGAAACTTCCTGAGCATCCTCTCACCCTGCCTGCCGCCGGATTTCGGATTAATAAAAACCAAGAGCGGTCTGGAATCCGGTGGTGGGGTTATCTGGAACGACATGGCTGGTTGCTGATTGGACGAGCTGCTGCTGGTGAGGAATGCACCCTGCCAAAGAGATAAGAAAGACATCGATCCGAAAAATCCGTAACCCATTTTGAAAGGCGTGGAGGAAAATCAAACAAGGAGATGACGAAATCTTACGGAACTAATGGACGACGTATCCTGGCCATGCTTGCTGCCCCTTTTACTGTCCCTGGACAGGGATCTCTGTCTGTCCAGGACAACCGGACAGATTGCCGTCGGTGGTAAAATATGAACTGCGTGTTCTCCAAGTGTACACTCGGTCCGCACTTGTGAGACGCACCTGTTGTGCAGCTGGATTGATAATAAAAATATGTCACTCGTACGGCATGCGGCAGTAAAGCATGGTATTATAAAAACATTAACTACACCCGGTATGCGAGACATTAATTAATCAACAGTCTGAATTAACTCACCGTTAACTGACACCAACGACAATGGAGGCCGGTGATACCATTGTAACTCTTTATGGTCTTTCTGCACTTGGAACATTTGCCATGACAGTTACCCTCGACCCAGTGGTGAGCCATTGTCTGAGAAGTCTTTTTACTCTTGACGTAAGTCGCTATGCACGACGCTGGCGCCCTCTGTACGCATCGTTCGTGAACCGTGTACTTACAGACTGGATAAGACAATTTATGTTTTTACGAACACTCGTTAGTCTGCGCTCTTGTGTCATTTTGATTTGACGTAAATTCTCATAAACTACTTACATACACAGCAGAGACCTTTCTTTCCAAGACCCACTAACATATTTAGACAGAGATTGCAGTAGGCTGGTTTGCTGAAGTGTTTTAACCTCCATAAGTGATTTCCGTCTTCTTTCACGTGAGAATCAAGTCCGAGAAGAACCAAAAGCGGTATTGTCGTGAGGCCACCTCTTTTCCACTCTTCTAGAGATACCGTACCGTCGGCGTCGTAATCTATTTCTATCATCATGTCTTGGAGGATCTGTCGGTTGAGTAATTACAAAACTTTATTGTTTAATGATTCTTCGCGCCTCGAGGAACGAGAGACAGTCGCGTCAGGTTAGACGAAGTAGATTTTATGTTATCCAAAGCGTCGTATTCGTTGGTAGGTTAGTCGTGGACTATATTTAATCCGTTCATATGAAAAATATCTTGGGATCACTAAATTTAGTCGACGACTAACCCATCTATGAATACAGTGGAATATATCGAGTCGTATACTATACTATAAGAAAAAAAGTGAGAGATACAAGCTTTTTTAGTTAATATCCTACTTCATTAAAAAAGACAATTTTCCATTGTACCACTTTTTTTCTGGCGGAAAATTCAAAATTATGTTTCTGTCAAAAGTTCTTTCCACGGACGAACATACAAAGAAAATCATAAGACGCCTTTCGAGTGGGCAAAGGATCACGATATCATTCTGTATATACGTTCGGAATATAGTAAAAAAATATGGTATAAACATAACTTTTTGCAACGTACTTCAACAATATTTTATTTACCGGTTTCAGTTCCGTAACGTCCCATCCAAGATACTCAGCGACGTTCATCATTTGGTTGACGATACAGTCCATCTCCTGTGACATAAAGAATACGGATGACAAAATGCATTCGCTACGATAAACAAACGATAATCCTATCTATGTACAAGCATATATTCCGCAAGTATAGACCATCTGAGGAAGCCATGTGGAGTAATGGCGACACCCGTCGGAAACATGTGTGTCTGGCTTACGGCAGATCATTAAACGCGTCCAAGTAGGTAGTTTATGTTGTGATCAGACGATGAGTAAACTTTTACGAATAATAGAACGTATACGTATAATAAAAACAGATAGTATGACATCATCCAATCTAGTGATTGTAAAGTGAATTAAAATAATCGATAAGTCGTTAAAGTCTCTTTACGCATAAATGCGACAATAAACCTGAGTATATTATCATTTATATTTACGTGGAAGTATACATATATAAATACACTTATAAGATACTTATGTACACATACATATGAGAACTATATGACTGAACATGTAAGACTGTTAGAAACTACATAAATATATTTATATATATACCAACTTGTTATTTCCATAATTAAAAACTGATGATTCATAGTGATATAAATATATTGAATGATTTTTAGAATTACTACTGCTTTCGCAATAACGACTTGGAGCTTTCAGACGTGAGTCAGTATAATATAGTGAGGGGAGCTGGGGTCCTGGAAGAGGAAGAGGAGGACAGTCGATGGAGTACGTAGAAGAAAAAATGGCAATCCACAAAGAACACAAGATTCATCCCATAATTGATTTGATCCACGCGAATTCACACGAGTCACGGTCAGTCTCGATCTAAATGCCGATGATTATAAATAACGCGTATTTTTTTTTGCGCGTAAGCCGCCATAACTCAATCGATAACCGTTGCAAAAATACTTCTTGGCCCTGCTTTACGTGGAAAATTTAGATCAAGGACTTGGAGATATCGAGAACCAATCGCAATGGTATAATTCTAATACGAAGCAGACATATTTATCGTACGTTAAATTCAATTACAATCGTATACATGAATTATTTCATAAGGAAAAGTATCGTAAGAGCATTACAATTTCAAATACCTTTAAAGGAACTTTACTTACATTTGTGTCGAGTACGCCATTACCGTCAGTGTCGTAGAGGCGAAACATAACTGTAAATAAAAAAAGTGTATACTTGTATAATTTCGTTGAGACGTAACAAGCTGTCGATAAAAATCCACGAGTTTGTGGAAATTAAAGAAAAAAAAAAATAATAATACAATAACCAGTCGAAGTACAAAAATGAAATTTGCTTTAACGTATAGAATTTTTTAAGGCATACAAATCTTAGCTGTTTAACGACGCACATAATTAAGGATGAAATTAATTTTTTTATGACTTAATTCAGTGTTTGGGAAAATTGTACAATTATTTTTTTTATCTTGCTTCACGAATAATCGGGACGAATCAAAATACTTTTTTTTACTAATACTTACATTCTAATTTATCCTCAGGTCTTCCAGCCTCTAGTAAGGACAAGTAACACACGATATCCTTAAGGCTGACCTTCACCGAATGAACGTCTATGGTACTCTGCTTTCTCACGAGGTGCCTCATTTCTGTAAGGATAAGAGGAGATCAACTATAGGATATAGAGGGTGACGATTATTAATGAAAAAAATTTTCTACCACCAGTATGTATACAAACTGTGCAACGGTAGAGACACGTGCGATTAATATGACGAAGGGTATTACTCATTTCGATAATATTATTCCACCAATAAACAAAGTCCCTGTTTGTTTAACAATTTCGTATAGAGTAAATGGATATCAACATCTGTGCTGATCAAACAGTAAATATTTTAACGTTGCAAAAGCGCAACTGTGCAATAACAAATAAATACTCACGTAACGGAGTCGCTCAGAGAAAATGTTATTTATAGTACACTTTGATTTTCTTTGACATTTAAACATCGTCGAAACACGCGCCATTTCCTAGAACGACGTACGGATCGTTGCACGCGCCGAAGAGTTATGCAATTTTGCAAAATAACAGTTAACGCTCACCGTGATACGTAGTGTATGCAAAGTCAAAAGTATTGTTTGAATTTCAAAAATATGAAGTTACAAATTTTTTAAAGGGACGCCGGTGACGTCGCTTAATTTTTTTTTTGTAAAATGCGAGACTGTGCGGTACACGAATGAAATAATATTTGTAAATTTCAATGAGAGAGCCAAACGAGTGGTTTGCTGGAAGACGGGAAAAACAAATATTTTTAGCGAACAGCCGGTTAATTGAAAGATACGCTGGTAGCCGGTTCCACGTTACTTTTAGACTACGCGGAAGTACAGTCCAAAAGCTTTTCTACCTACAGTCTGCATATAGAAAGTGTGCCTGTGGTTGTATTGGACCTAGGAACAAATTGTTCGGCTGGTTAAAACTAAAATAAGCAAATCGTTTGGAGTCAGTAATCGCCGATAGTGGCTTTAGCTATAATCATAAATAAATTAATCGTGTAGGTACAGTGTAGCATACAAATTTTTATATAGTTTATATACGTATAGTATTCTATAAATGAAATCATTACCAACATTCTTGCACGAAACTGTACCTATCTACTTTATTAATGAGAATGCATTGTGAATTGCAATTTCACTTATTATAACTGTATATATCCTGTAACGTGGCGTTACAGAGCTGGAGGGGATACCACCTAGGAATGACCGAAAAGTAAATAAATAGGACTTATCAGGTCGGACAGTGGGTTCAATAGCACAGTGGTAAGTGCTCGACTTGGGCAGTCCGAAGGTATCGGGTTCGAATCCCGATCAGAACTCCTAATTTTTCGGAAATTCCTAGCTCTCTAGTGCTCCCTGGCGGCTCTATGGATCAAAAATTAATTATAGCGGGGACGAGCCGAGCCGGGCACCCCGTTATAATCCAAAGTATGAATTTGTTATATGTTTCATTATAATATACAGGGTGTTCCGAAACTACCTGACCCGGTGGGTATGGCGGTGTTCGGGAGGCTCCACTGATCACGGAAATAACCTTCTTTTTGTCCGGAAGGTCATAGTTTTTAAATGGGATCAGGTCAAAGTTGACCAATCAAAGCGAGGCGTCAGGAGAAACGTAGGCACCTACGAACTCTGAGTTTTCTTCCCACGCTTTTGTTTCTCGGTGGCTTCTTTCTTGTTTTCAATAGGCATGTCTTCAGCTGACGTCATCCTGCCCGAAGCCACTGAGAAACAAAAGCGGGGGAAGAAAACTCAGAGTTCGTAGGTGCCTACGTTTCTCAGTGGTTTGCTGGAAGACGGGAAAAACAAATATTTTTAGCGAACAGCCGGTTAATTGAAAGATACGCTGGTAGCCGGTTCCACGTTACTTTTAGACTACGCGGAAGTACAGTCCAAAAGCTTTTCTACCTACAGTCTGCATATAGAAAGTGTGCCTGTGGTTGTATTGGACCTAGGAACAAATTGTTCGGCTGGTTAAAACTAAAATAAGCAAATCGTTTGGAGTCAGTAATCGCCGATAGTGGCTTTAGCTATAATCATAAATAAATTAATCGTGTAGGTACAGTGTAGCATACAAATTTTTATATAGTTTATATACGTATAGTATTCTATAAATGAAATCATTACCAACATTCTTGCACGAAACTGTACCTATCTACTTTATTAATGAGAATGCATTGTGAATTGCAATTTCACTTATTATAACTGTATATATCCTGTAACGTGGCGTTACAGAGCTGGAGGGGATACCACCTAGGAATGACCGAAAAGTAAATAAATAGGACTTATCAGGTCGGACAGTGGGTTCAATAGCACAGTGGTAAGTGCTCGACTTGGGCAGTCCGAAGGTATCGGGTTCGAATCCCGATCAGAACTCCTAATTTTTCGGAAATTCCTAGCTCTCTAGTGCTCCCTGGCGGCTCTATGGATCAAAAATTAATTATAGCGGGGACGAGCCGAGCCGGGCACCCCGTTATAATCCAAAGTATGAATTTGTTATATGTTTCATTATAATATACAGGGTGTTCCGAAACTACCTGACCCGGTGGGTATGGCGGTGTTCGGGAGGCTCCACTGATCACGGAAATAACCTTCTTTTTGTCCGGAAGGTCATAGTTTTTAAATGGGAGCATTTAGCATGGGAGCAGGTCAAAGTTGACCAATCAGAGGAAGGCGTCAAGAGAAACGTAGGCACCTACGAACTCTGAGTTTTCTTCCCCCGCTTTTGTTTCTCAGTGGCTTCGGGCAGGATGACGTCAGCTGAAGACATGCCTATTGAAAACAAGAAAGAAGCCACCGAGAAACAAAAGCGTGGGAAGAAAACTCAGAGTTCGTAGGTGCCTACGTTTCTCCTGACGCCTCGCTTTGATTGGTCAACTTTGACCTGATCCCATTTAAAAACTATGACCTTCCGGACAAAAAGAAGGTCATTTTCGTGATCAGTGGAGCCTCCCGAACACCGCCATACCCACCGGGTCAGGTAGTTTCGGAACACCCTGTATATTATAATGAAACATATAACAAATTCATACTTTGGATTATAACGGGGTGCCCGGCTCGGCTCGTCCCCGCTATAATTAATTTTTGATCCATAGAGCCGCCAGGGAGCACTAGAGAGCTAGGAATTTCCGAAAAATTAGGAGTTCTGATCGGGATTCGAACCCGATACCTTCGGACGAAATAGTACTATGAATATTTTGATAGATTTTAATCAGCAATGAATTATAAGATAAATAATATTATAACATAATAATTAGGTCTAGTATTGTAGGAATACGGTTGAGCAATAATATATAATGGTATAATTTCTAATTATGTATTTTGAAAATATTTAGGTATCAAATTCAAAGATTACCCGTATAAAGACTGCAAAATTTCACATTATTCTGGATGAATTAATTACTTTACTATTTGAAGTATTTAATTAACACTTATGTCAGTCGATTTATTTAAAAGCTTATATTTTGCTGATAAAGCAAAAGAAATTAGTCTTTGTAATCAATGAAAAAAAAAAAACATCAGATATCGAAATGAATATATTGTATATATGTATACAGGCATTTTGGTTGCTTTACTAATTCACTGTTTAAAAAGTTAATTAATGGGCAACTTATCGAGCACCACATCATTAATTACAGTAAAGTTAACGTAGCCTTAAAAAAAATTGTAGATTATTACAAGCAGCTTTTATGTTCGCGAAAATAAAACTTGACACCGAGGATCCTGACCCCGACTGTATCATTGGGAAATGATATCGTCGACATTAAATTCGTGTGACCGTACTTCCGTCAAGTAGGTGCGACTCTAGGTCTGTTAGTGCCTGTGTTTTTACGAGCTCCGAAGCACTATAGGTATGTTCGATAATGAGCCGAGAGCGCTGAGAGCAAATTGTGTTTCGATCATATGCAAGCAATAAACAGAGGAGCTACCATGAGCTATGAGCTCAACTGGTCATTTTTGAACACGCCTATAGTGCCCCAGTGCACGTAAAACCGCTTGCGTTGAATTCATATTTTCTTTTTATTCATAAAATCTGTTCGCAGACCCAACCCCGTCTTCGCGGATTCCTGCAAAAGCTTCACATTCCCAAGAATAAATCAAACGGCCTCAACAAAGGATATAAATGATCGGATTAAACTTCGTATTTTGAGAATCTCTCCACCTGAAAATAGTATAATCGCTAAAAAAAAACGTAAAATCATTTACGAAAAAATTTTTAAAAAATTCTCAAAACACGAGGTGACAAAAATAAGAGGTAAACACTACACCGATTACGTACCTTCCTTCAACATGGCACCGGATACATTTGGCAAACGAACCTGACGGGTCCTCAGCACCATATTGAATTCACAGTAAGGACCAAAAAGAAGAATCTCAATTCGAACGACACGCAATTGTACAATTTGATAGGCACGATACACGATCAGTATACAAGAAATAGATCTAGATACGTCGTGAAGCTTTCTGAGACTTGTCTTTAACGGGTGACATGTTCACAGCTGGTATACCGGGTGAGACTGAAGAAATTATTATTCCCGAAACACTTGTTGCTCCGCGTGCAATAAAAGGCTAACTGAGCGTGCTAAGAGCTTTGCGAGGATATACGTGTAACGCGCGCGTATACGTAACTCAGTAGAGACAGTGACGTCATGCGATGCTACCGACAAATCTATTTCAGTGTGCGAGACCACGTGCGTGCCAGCAAGTACGAGCAGCACGAATTGAAAGATCACGCACCAATTCTTACTAATTGCAACGACATAGCGCATTGGGTTAGCCACCTAACCTAACAATAAAAAGTTGAACAAATCGTTACAGGCAGAATCATAACGCATAAATTGAACCTCAGAATTTAATTGCAATTGATTACACAGTAGCCGTATAAAAAGTTCCACTGACGCTTTCAGTCCCGGAAGCTCGATCGCCCAGCTGTCTACATAATCCGTCCGAGAATAGCTCCAACTTTTTTTTTTCAAATTGTAAAACGCAACTTTTCGTGGACAACGGACAAGACGAACTTACGTACTTTCTTTCATATTCAATTCTGCGCATGCGCACAAGCTGACTGAACGAGATAAAGACTATCAGCTCAGCGATGCATTTATAAATTGTATTAATTTTAAACTTGTCTCCAAGTAAATCCCTGGAATAATGTAGGTATATGCGTAAGCATTTACGTCAGCGTTCTCGGATAAGTTTTAAATCCAGTGTAGGGAAAAAACAAAGCGGAAGCATAAAGCCCACCCGGAAAAATTAAATGACAAAATTTGTTGAGATCGTTTCAAATATTCCTGGAATAATTTTCACGACGATATCGGACGAATCGCGCTTACGTCTACTATTTCATTTTCTTTTTCAAACAGTATGATCAACTGGTAGCGATAACTGTGGCCGAATTCAGAACTTGGTAGTTCACAGAGTTTCCGCTAGGGTTTACGATGTCATTTCCAGTAACCGAGATAGGCTACCATTATAGTACGCACTGCACATTCTTTTTCCAAATCCTTTCTTATATATGCTAGGTATATATATATGTACTCATATATATATTTGTTGAGGGGGGGGGGGGTTCTCGAAGCGAAGTCTTCTGTTCCCGAATTACACACCATCTTGGGACATCCGGTTCGTATATCTCTGGAGATGCCTTATTCCGGCCAGCTATAGGTATACATTTGGCATTCAGGCCAATAGCTTTTCCATCTATATTCACCTTCGAACTTCCCGTTATTCACGAGTAGCGAGTTGTTCGATTTCCTCGAGGAATTCCTAGACATTTGACTGTGACTTGGACTGCTGTCAGTGCTCTTTTTCTCTAGTACGTCGTGGCAGCTATAAGAGGTATGTGTGACCGTCAGCATCGGATGGACGCTTCCTGAATGGAAAGAGAAAATTTTATAAGATCGATCGCTATACATATACATATATTAAACAGAACATTTTACACATATGATTCTCTCTGCGTAGACTTGGACATATGAAGACATTGTATTGTAACGCTATAAGCGTTTCCATCATTACTGTATCGCGAGGTACAAGCATCTGGATTCGTTAAGCGGTTTAATTAAGTAAAAAAAAAAATGACTTTTTTCAAATAAACAAAAATTTTAGAATTTGTTAAATAATAATTATAATCATTTTTGAATAATTTATTCGGACTGCTATCATTTTACCGAAAATACATCTACCCGAATAGTCTTACGTCCAAAAGGTCATTCGTCCTAATTGCCAAACCCACGATTCACCGTCTGTCATTTGTTCCAAATGTCTCTTCGGCCGAATTCTTCATTTGCCCGAATCATCAGTCGGCCAAATCTGACGCTCGGTCGAATGGAACGTGTTCCATAGTAGCTGAGCCTTTTGTTCCATTCAATGAATTGGACTACAGTCAGGCCCTTATGTCCAGGTACTAAGGAACGCATTCTATTAATCCAACCGGCGAAATTATCCGAACGAGGGTTCGGAATAATGATGAATTTGGTCAAATGGTAAATCGTGGATTTGGTGTTTAGGGCAATTTAACTTTTTGAATATAACATCGAAGATATGCATTTTCGGTAAAATGACAACGATCCAATTTATTCGTACCGGTTCGAGCTCTTGCCGATGCTTCGCTGTCGCTTCTATGATGTCCTAACGCTTGTAATTTTTCCGTAAGACCATGAATCTTATCAGCCAAGGATGAACCGCCGCCATGACTTTCAGATCCTGCACTGGCCGATATACCGGTGCTGTTAACGTTACTGCTGGATGTCGTGTGAGACGTAATGGCCGCGCAAGCTGTTGTGGATGAGAGGACTGCCATTTCCTGAATATAAAAAAAAAAGTTCAAAAAAATATCGTATCGTCGTATCTATCAAAGCATCATTATCGCAAGCTATTACGTGCACGTTGTTACTGACTTTGAATGCTTTTCCATCGACTCCACGTGGACCCTTCTTCACGAAGGAGAGGAACAGATGACGAGATAGCTCATCCGGTGTCGCAACCTCCAGGTAGGTATCCAGGAACCTCCGAAAGCCGTCGTAATCAATGTCCTGGAAACAGTGGATCAACCATCTCGATCAAGATAAAGATAATTTTTATTTTTATTAAACGAAAACAGGTCTCGAGTCTTTTATAAATCTTGACCCTCCATCCATGACTATCTGGAAGGTCATCCTGACAGGATCGTTGAACCGTATCTGCGTGGCCATGCTGGCAAAATTTTTCTAAGCAAAAATTGTGATTTTCCTAATTTACCCAGTAAATCAAGCTGCATAAATATTGAGGCTTTTGGTTAGACCAAGAAATGTCCAATTTTCGTGATTTCGAATTTCAATGATAAAACAGACTCAAGGCATCGTACGAAATCATACCAATGAGACGCCGTCGTACTGTTTTACCAACCGGTAAATCCAGATGTCTCTGTAGCTGTCGAAGGTAACCCGTAAAAAGATGTCAAGAAACTTCTCAATTACTGTTTATAACGATTGGACAGTGAATTAACGTGAGTTAGCGTCAAGCGTCGTCATTCAGACGCGACGCTCAAATATAACCTAGTTTCGACTTTTGAAAGGAAAGCTTCTACTAAAAGGATACACATGGATACGAACTGCACCTATTACCTTGATACAATAAAACACCTCTCACTTCGTTCATCCATTAGCACGTAACCTTATAGCAATCTCCGTAGTCACAAGAACCCAAAGCAGCTTTGCACTGACTAGCTCGGTACTCTCGTAAAAGTCAATTGAATTGTCGTAAAGGAAAGGAAAAAAAATTTGTCAAAGCCTTCTACAAAATCAATACGCTAGTCAAATTGAAATCCATAAGATACAACTTCTAAGCCATAAATCCGTTAAGCTCTGAGACAGTTAAGTACAGATATCCGGCGTGTAATTCAAAAGGAGCCGAATTAATCGTCAAAGTTCGAACTCACGTGGTCTACGTGACTGGAGCGACGTGGCCGAGCGATGCGATAGGAATCGCGAGCGGTGTGCGCGAAGAATTGCGTCTAAATAAAAGTCTCGAAACTCTCATAAACGAGACCGCATCTTCACGTGACGGCTGGACGTTAATGTAACCGCAAACCGAAATAACGCATCTATTTTCGATACGACAGCAAATCGTGAATGCTATACAAAATGAACGCGCGTACAGCACAAGAAGAAGTTATTCGATGCTTCAACCACAATCCTGATCACCATAAACAGTCCTCCAATTTTATTCTACTCAATAGAAATGTTCTTCAGCAAGCTCAGAACCTAACTGGATCCCCGCTGAGGTCAGTTTGAGGACTACTTAGGACTGGGGTGGACCCCTGATTCTCATAACGAAATTTCTACTAGGGTACCAACGCAATAGGTACGCGTCATCGAAATCATCATCCGGCATGATCATTTTCCATACTTCCCTCTATGTACTTTTCTATTACTGATATCTGATAACAAAGTTGTACCAACATAACCTCAAATCTTGTTTCGATAATCGTAAATTTTCAACGCGACAACATGATCCTTCAACAAAATGGCGGATCAAGCTCAAAGAAGACAAGTTCGGATCAGACCCGAAGTGACTTTTAAAGTTCGCATTGTCTCATTAGTAAAAGGTGGGGGGTTGGAGGGGGTGAGGTCAAAAGGCAAAGGGCATGGAAGGAAACTGGAACGAAGGACTCGGCCCGAAGTTGCTTAACTCCGTTTCTAGATTAGTCGAGTAACTCAGTTCTCCCCTCGCGCCTCTCCACCCTTCTCCGCGATTTCATCCCTTACCTGTATACCACTAATCACCGCGTATCTCATAATTAAATAAATTATTCCGGCCCGCCGAGCGGCGCTCCTCGCTGGTAATCTCGGCAACGTTGTCACGTCCTGATATTATCTATATACACGGAGTCCTAAGTAAATATGTCTGCCAAGAGTGAGAATAAAATTTTTGGTAATAATGAAAAATGAAAAATTTTTTTTTTTAATCTAAGTAATCGATGAATCAATGATAATGACAAAGTAGAATCAAACTAAACCACGTAAAATTCATCTTCGACCCGAAAATATATTTTCCGTTGAATTCTGAGAATATTCTCGTAACCTCTTGGTACTTAACGATTCTGAAACTAAAGCGATCAGAACTAACCTATGACAATCCTGACTAATGTCCTCGTGCGCGGGCTTCGCCCAACTGTCCTTTATCCTCTAACTTTACCAATAAATACGAGCAAGACCCATCTACGGAACCGATCCCGAATCATCCCTTGAACAATATCGCAAGAGGGATGAACCGAGGCTGGTTGAAAACTTAAATGAGTCCGGTTTCATTTAGGAAATTGTTATTTATCAAAACTTTGAAACTTCAAGTGGAATCGGACTATCGTGAAGTGGTGCTAACTTCAGGGAACAAAGAGAAAGCGTATAACTTTATATCGTTAGGAAATAAGGGCGAAGCTTGTAACTTTAAAAAACGATATATAATTAACGTGTTAATCGATAGGACGTGTTATATGGGTTTTGTACGAGACACAATGGGGTTAGGCGCGATTGAAAAGCAAACGTGCGATATTATTATTTATTGCTCTCTGCTTAGATCGCTCGAGGTAGCTCCCTCACCAAAAAAGCCCCCTTTTTCCATTTCATCGCGCCTTTATAATCGTAGCTAGTAGTTTTGGTCCCCTCTTATTCCTTGCCCTCTCTCTTCTCAGGAGAGGGCCAATGACACCAATTGTGTTCGGACGCGAAATCGACCAGGGTGATTTCGCCTGTTTCCCTAGCGGTCCCCGGGTCACAAAGTTCCCCGTGCACGCGGTGACCTTCATAGACACTAGGAGACGGGTCTTCCGTCGAGGTCGATAACGGCCTCGGATCGACGCCTTGTCCTGGGATTATGCGGCCACAGAAACCTCATGGTTATTTGCGCACGCTGGGCTACGCCGCAGAGGTCGACTACTTTCTTTCAAGGATACACGGACTTTCACTGACATGACAATCTTTCCGCTGCCCTCGAGCCATCTTTCACAACATTTACAAAGGCAGTTTCATACATCATGCGCGAACATAAGTATACAATACAGCTACAAATTCAACGCTACTATGTTAGCGTAATCGTAACGTAAATATAAAACGCAACTATGATCGTGGCTAAGAACGGAACTAATCGCAACTAAGAACGCCCTGAAACGCTTATTCTATATTTTACAAGTTTGATCGGTAAAATTTTATTCGATAAGAAAAAAAAGCTTCTGGAATAAGAATCCTGAATGAGACGGGGTAATCGGCCATTAAGGGGGGTCGCCACTGCGACGACGACGGAGTGCAGCGAATTCGCTCAATGGCTTCGAAAGGGGGTGGAAATGACGTAAGCCCTGGGTAAATGACGTCACGGTATGGCCGTCATAGAGGAGCCGAGGGTAGAAACCGGGTCAGTGCACAGCTGCGAGAGTAACAAAACCCTGTTACCCCGCTACACTATATACATATATATATATATATATATATATATATATATATATATATGGCGGAGTCGAGTTTCGCGAACGACGCAAGGACAACGAAGTGCTCCTGCGCATGCGTAACATTTTTATTCTCATTTTTACGAAAATCAGCATGAAATGTGAGTAAATCGAATTCCTGCGAAATATCAAGATGGCGGCTCCAATATTTTCCAATCGGTTATAAACCCCCTCGTGTCTCTTACGGACGGCTCGAAAATGTCAATACCGTGTAAATAGAATCGAACACCCGAACCCGTTTGTCAATCAAATTGAAATTGGAGTAGGTATCATACGAGTAAAAATTTTGTTGTCGCGCCCTCCGCCAACCCCTATTCGCATTTGGCTCGTTACAATTATTATTATCGGCAGCGAACTCCAAAAATTCCCACGAAGATAATGAATTAATTTTCATCAAAGCTTCTAGAACAATCGAGGCCCCCGTGAATTTCATCGGTTCTTCGAACCAAAGGCATTGTTATCAAACTACGCGCCTGTTACGTATGAGTTAGCGCGAAATATAAGGGTTCATCATTTTTCGTAAATTCCGCCCCCTCCGTCTCCCCCCCCCCTCCACCCATCAACAACACAACAAGTATCGCCGTAACGGTGCGTTTAATAAAAACATATCGCCATAATATTGCGAAACGGTACTTAAGGAAGAAACATCCCTTGGGCTACGGGGGTTGATTGAGACGTGGGGCGCAGGAAGGTGCGCGCAGTGTCAACAATTTAAGCGCTAAGAATAGACCGGGCTCGAGTGTCCTTGCAGTGTATAAGGGATAGACGAGGAGGGCGGGGGTGTTCATCAGGACTATCAGGACTATGGCGACTATAAGGACTATATGGGGAAAACTGGTTCGAGGTGCGGAGGTGGCTTCAATTAAAGCTCTTATAAAGAGATCCCACACCCTCTTCAAATATAATAAGCTTTCTCGGCAAACCACCCCCCTTGCCGTAATCAACATCCCTTCCTCCCCTACATCCCTTTGCTATTATTTTCCCAAGGTGTATGTACACTGGTTGTATCATTATTGTACAGGTCTTTTCATTCGAGGCTTAGTGCGCCGACTACCCATCCGCTTCACCCTCGTCCATAAAAATCTCACACCCAGATGTATAAAAATAGATAGACCAATATCGATACAATACGTGTATCAACCGTTGAGAACTATAATATCCAGGCTAGGGAAAGAAAAAAAAATTGTTTTAAATTACCTGGTTAAATTTTTTTTTATAGTACCCCTTCACTAAATTCACCTATGAATTTCCGTATCATCTATACCCATTCGCACGGTATATAGGCAGATGCGTGAGAGCATTCTGATGATACGATAAATTTGCACGCACTGAGAATAGCAGAAAGTGCATGGTCTACGTCATCATGACGTAGCGTACGGTCATGTTATCGGACGCGATATCGAGAATTGGTGAAGCGTCCGTTTACGGTAGGAGTGAAGAGTAAAGAGGAGGAAACGTAATTCCTAAGTGGCGCCTACGGTGAAAATTCCTGCGGGGATACATAAACAGAAAAGCATAAAATTCTTGGCGATATTTCATCGAGCGAAACTGCTCAAT